TTAGGTAAGAGCACCAGGATAGGGTAGGTGGGGTTTGGGGGTAAGGGAGTGAGGGGTGAGTGGGGTTAGATTCCTCTAGATGCTGTTGTTTATTCCTAATGATTATATCATTCCTCATCTAATCCTTATGCCTACTAGTGGCACCAAAGGAAGTGAAATTACTTTGTTTTGCCTTCTGGATTCTCTCTCCAGCTTCAGTCTCTACTTGGAAAACTGCTGCTAAAACTCTGCTAATCTTAAGGTCTGGAGGAGGGTGGTGAAAGGCCGTGACATTATGGTGTAGTGGTGAGGGGATCCCATGACAGTACGGCTCAGGGAAGGTGACCCTGAAACACAATAATTATGGGTGGCTATTACTAAAGAGCTTCAGAGCAGGATACATTGAGCTTTAGGAATTTAGTGTGGCGGGGCAAGGAAGGGGAGGCCGGTGTGGCATGTGGCATGTGCATATCTGGTATCAGTACCACTGAGACCCCAGCACGTGAATATTCCAGGAAGCCTGGTTCCTTATATTAGCTTATCTTATTCCTTCAAATGGCAGCACCGTGCCACTCCATTCTGAAGCTCACTTTCACCTGTGTATTTGTCTCTGAGCAACACCTGATGACCGGTGAGTAAAGCTCAACTGAGACCATGGGTACTTTATCACTGTAGCTGCTTCTGAGCTGATGCCCAGCCTGGCAACCAGAGAAGCCCTGGGTGGATCTCTTTTCAACATAAGACATAATAAAATGGACTTGCTGAAACCCAGTAGTATCTCAGGCCTGAGGAATTTTCCTGTATTTTGGACTCAGGAGTCTTTAGAGTGATATCATTCTAGCACTGATTGTAGACCTGTTTTGCTCCCTACTTGGCAGTCTCGATGGATGCCTTCTCCGAATAATTTTTAAATAAATAAAAGAAAATATAGAGATTACAAAGGAAATCAATTCATCAATTTTTTTTAGTTATGAAAATATTTTTTTAAAAAAATCAGGGATCCCAGGTTAAAAACTCCTGCTAAAAGGCCTTAGGGGTCTCACTCTTTTATTTCACAGACTGAAAAACTAAAGCTCAGAAGGTTAAGTTCTTTTCCCAAGTCCACACACCTGGTTAATGGAAGTAATAAGAATAATTAATGCAGTAGTCCTACATACACACGGACACATGGGGCCTACATACACATGCACCCAAACAGCCTGGCACCACCCCTTTCACGGCCTGTCTCTCAAGGAGGTCCTGCAACCTCCTGGACTTTCTGACATTGGGGATCCTGAGAGGAGTCAGCCTGGCCACCCCGGCTTCTCTCCCTAATGTTCCCTGTTCTGAAGGAAGCCTCAAATGTTCTAAGGGCCTCCCAATTCTCCTTGTTTGGGAAGAGGGAATCTGACACTGAGAATGAAAGGAAGGTCAGCAGTGACTTTGGAGCAACCAAGCCTAGGAAAGCCGGTTAACTTTTAACAGTTATTCATGTTTTTTCTTCAGCATTTGTTGTGGGGCCTAGAGTACTGCTGTGATATTTCACTGTGACATGAAGGTGACCCTGGCTTCTGATAGGCTGATGCCAGCAAATCCCAAGTTTTGCCAGGGCCTCCTGTGTTCTGAGCATTCTAAGACCATTCTAGTCTTCCACTCCAGGACCACCATAGCTAAATGCTGAGGTGGTCAACACCAGATTGGTAGTGGGTAATACCTTTTGGCTTTTTTTTTTTTTGCCACTGCAACTCATGAAAACCCATCTCCTAAGGTCTTACTAATGTTGAGATTTGCATCAGAGGAGAGAGTACTTACACTGAAGAAATCTCAGATCCTTGAACAATTCATTGTGTGGATAGTGTAAGGTGTGTGTGTGTGTGTGTGTGTGTGTGTGTGTGTGTGTGTGTGTGTGTGTGAACTGGGGAGCAGGGAATCTCACTCTCCTAAACTATGTACCCTTCAGAAATATGAGCACCATAACATTTCATTCTGGGAAGTGCTAATGCGTTAGGGTGACCACTCATAATGCTAATATTTTATCATAATACTAATATGTTTGAATTTCTAACATGGTAAAAATCCACAGATAACCCACATAAACAAAAGCTCTTTGGAAGAGTCCTTGGTTTTTCAGAGTGTAAAGGGGTCCTGAGACAACTGTTCTAGAGCATCTGATATAGTGCCCTGAATTATAAGCCATAAGATCTGTTTCCATAATCCCAGGTGCCGTAATATAGACACCAGAGACCTTTGCTCTGAAGCCATATGACTTCAATAAATGAAGACGTATTGTGTAATGGAAAGAACTGGGTCTGGGGTCAAAGGACTAGGGTTCAAATTCTGCCACTGCCATTTGGTACTTAAGTCTTATAACCTTTACAGGATTATAATCTTTATAAGTCTTAGTTTCCTCATCTGTAAAAACAAAGGGGTTGGATGGCATCTGAGGTCCCTTCCAGCTTTCAGTCAATGCGTCTGTGAACCTTGATCTCCTTCATCTTGTGCTTTTCCCATTTATTCAACACTGTTGAGTTTATGGTGATGAGGTGGCTGTGCTCAGGCAATGCTGGCCCTGAGTGGGAAAAGAAATAGATTGGATTCTGGTTTATTAGATCTTTTTATTAGGTCTTTTTGACACTTTTTATGTTTTAGCTCCAATCACTGTCAAGATAAAGAAACATAAAATCCTCAGCCTAGTATCTAAGACACTCCATAATCCACCTCCTATTTATCTTTCTAGTAATATCACATTGCCTCTTCCTACTGGACTTTGTTCCAGTCAGGCTGGTCGGCTAGCTCTTCAGACGACCTAACTTTCTGTCTCCTGCCTTTGCACAGATGGTCCTCCATGTCTCCTCTGCAGATCCTCTTCTCCAATTCATAAATTGCTCTAGTTTACTTGCATTGCTCAGATGTCACCTCTTACGTGAAGCCTTTCTCGACTCCCAACAAGTTGTAATCCCTTCCCTCCCTCTTGAAATAAATGGCTTTGTTTTTATTTTGAATCTTCTTTGCATTCATTCACCTAGCCGTGTACATGCCATGTGCTCCTTCCCCACCATGCAAGTTTCTTGAGGGCTGGGATTATTTTACTTTTGTCCTTGTAGTTTCAATGCCTAACACGTTGCTGCTGTTCAGTTGTTTCAGTCGTATCTGACTCTTTGTGACTCCATTTGGGGTTTTCTTGGCTGAGATGCCAGAGGAGTTAGCCATTTCCTTCTCCAGCTCATTTTACAGATGAGGAAACTGAGGCAAACAGGGTTAAGTGACTTGCTCAGGGCCACCTAGCTAGTGTCTGAAACCAGATTTGGAGTCATGAAAATGAGTCTTCCTGAATCCAGGCCCAGTGCTTTATCCACTGCGGCCCCTGGCATAGTAGATAGAGTGCCAGGCCTGGAGTTGGGAAGACCTGAGCACATAGTTAGCACTTAATAAATTTGTATAGAATTGAATAGAAGATTAACTATGTGTTCAGTTTTCAGGGCATTGCATCGGATGCTCCAGACCTTTTTGGTCTCGAGACCCCTTTACACTCTGAAAAATCCAAAGAGCTTTTGTTTATGTGGCTATTTACCATATTAGAAATTCAAATATATTAGTGTTATAATGAAAACCGTTTTGACTTGTGGACCCCCTGAAGGAATCTTGGGGATCCCCAGAGATGTCAAGATCACCCTTTGAGAATCGCTATTGTAGAAGCTTTATGGGACATAGTCATGGTGGTGAGAGTCAAGCAGACCTGACTTTGTTGTAGTACTTATGTGTTCCCCCAACTCATCTGATCCTCACATCCAACAGGAGGGAGGGAGTAGGGAAGTTTGTAGTCTGATTTTGTAGATGTCAAAATTGATTTGCTAAGATCTTAAGCAACAGACTCATGGTCACACTGAAGGCAAAGTCAGGACTAGATTCCAATTCTCTTGAGTCCTAGTCTCAAGCGCCTTCTGTTAAACTGTAATAGTGGAGCACTTCCCTTCGAAGAATAAATAATCCAAGGAGCCTAATGGTCTTGAAACTTTAATTTATAAGCTGTATGTATGTTACAACTGAAGATGACATATGCCGATCCAGCATTCTGGGAGAAGATAGAGTCCAAGATGTATTCTGGGGATCAGGGAGGTGTCAGTGCTGACAAAGATCGATGTTAGCCTCCATGACGGTCTTCGATCATGAGCTCTGCGGGACAGAGGCTATGCTTGATTGGTTCACCCTATGTAGCATTCAGCCCAACATGCTTTATGAATGAGTACCCAATAAATAGTCTTTGATAACCATGTTTTGTTTAGGGAAGCTTTCATAAACCGTTTGATTGACTTGGGGTCCCTCTATTTCCTTCTGAAGTATGTTATCCTTTCCACATTGCAGAGGTTAGGAGCACAGCACCCCTATGATCAGGAAAATCTGTGTAAAATTTTTTGGCCTTCTCTTCCTACCAGAGAAGAAGTCTGAACCTTTTCTTTTAGGGGGTGTTTACAGTACCTTATTGTAAAATTTGGGTTAAGTATTTGGCCATAGGTTCTGTGTTAATTCCTGGCCTTCACAAGTTTTCTGTGCCTTCCACAAAACTCCCCCATTTAATTTCTTATGCTGACCCATGGTACATCACAATGTGGAAGGGATAACTGTGGTTGGAAATTCAATCCCTTTAGGGCTTCCCCAGGACTAATCTGTCAAGTAAAAATGTATTAACTTATCAGCCTTGTTATTCAACCTTCATCCAGTATCCTCTGCCCCTCTGATTGGAGGTTGGAGCCATGACCTCCTCCAGTAGAAGGGAACAGGATTGACATTTCCTTTTCTCATTCAACTGCCTTCATTTGGGAGGTGGAGCCTATGGCAGTAGTATACGGTCTAAGACTACTTCTCTGCTTGTGCCTCAGGAGCTCCAGCCACTGGGAGCTAGGGAGACTTATTCTGGGGCCCCTGGAGAGATTCAGGTATCTTTCTAGGAGAGGCCTCTCCTATTTGGAGGCCCCTCTTCTAGATTCTAGCTAGAGACCTGTCATGCCTTCAAGCCTTATATTAGTCTTCCTTTGTCTCTCTAGAATGGCCCCAAAGCTTCTTCACTAAGTAGCAATGCCAGGATGCCCGTCTCAGTCTCCTTACATCAAGATGTGACCCAAGAGCGTCCAGTGAGCTTGGCCTCCACCACCTCTTCTTCAGGCTCATCCCAGGACAGTCAGGCCATGGAAGAGCCCAATGGAACTGGACCTGTGGCTGAGGGCGAGTCTGGCTCCCCCCATGCTAGCCATGTCCCTAGTAGCCATAACAACTCCAGCAGCTGGCTGAATCTGAGAGGGTCCCTAAAAGGCTCACCGTTTAGCTCTCGGTCTACACCTGGGCCGGGACATCACAAGCTGAGTTACCTGGGCCGAGTGGTGCGGGAGATTGTAGAGACGGAGCGCATGTACGTACAGGACCTCCGAAGCATTGTTGAGGTGAGCCACTCCTTCAGGTCCGATTGCCTATGCAGTCCTTGTTATTTTTTTCCTCTGGATCATTGTGGAGTGAGGGGTGGAGCATGGAGCACATGTCTCCAAAATAGACCAAAGGACTTCGGCTTTTGCAGTGTCCAGCTGGTTTCTCCACTAGAAAAGAAAAACCTTCTTGAAGGTTTAGTCCCAGTAATTCTGCTTCCCAGGACTAAGATTTAGAAAGAGGAATAGAGCAGAAAGCTTAGCTCTCAGATGCCTTGTTTATCTGAATTTACCAAGACCACAGATCTACAGTTTTCCTCCTTTGTTTCTCTGGCTGGTCAGACCAGGAAATTGGATCATTGGAACAGCCTGTAGGCTCCTGGGAACAGCAGTATCTGAAAGGCAAGAGAAAGGTGCAGAACCGAAAGAGAGACAGACATCAGACTGACTGCCCTTGGGGTTGACTGGTGGTAGTTAGTGTTCTCAAGGTGTTCCCAAGGAATAAAGCTAAGAAGGGGCTCTATCAAAATAGAAGAGGGAAATAGGAATGAAGTGATACCAAGAGTGCGCTGTGTAGTGGGAATGGTACCATGTTGTCCTCTACTGACTTCCTCCATGACAGGATTACCTTCTGAAGATCATCGATACACCAGGGCTGCTGAAACCAGAACAAGTCAGCGCACTGTTTGGGAACATAGAAAACATCTATGCACTAAACAGGTGAGCGACAAGCCAGGAGCTCGTTCTTCCTAGGCCTCTCAGAGTTCTGGTTGGGGCAGGGGTAAGTGGCACAGTATTGGACGAAGAGTCTGCTTTCACCCCTGCCCTCCTTTGTTAGTGCCCTTTCCTTTCTGCCCTGTGCCTCTTGGTTTTCCCACCTCTGGGATAGACCTAGTTCTGCCAGTACAAGCTCCTTTAGAGGCCTGTGAGGACTACTGGATACTTGGAAATACCTCCCTCTTTGGATAGATCATTAGTATAATGGTTAACCTTCTCCACAGGTTGAGTGGAGCTTCTTGAAGGCTCCCTAGACCATTGGTTGATGGTGCCATTTCTTCTCCAGGGATACCTCTTTTTCTTTCCTCTTTCTTTTCCCCCTTGCTTTTGGGTCAATATTCCCCCTACGTCTTCCACTGGCTTCTAGACAAGCTAAATGATCCTAGTGGCTCTACTTAGTATATTGGTTGGAAATACTGAGGCTTGAAATAGTTAAGGGTTCTGTTAGTTTTCTGTGATCTCTATTATGGAGGAACATGATTAGAGATGGGGAAAGGAGGGATAATAACGCTCCCTATCTTGTGTCTGAGGAATCCAAGGGAAAGGATCCTAGACAGCAGAAATTAGCTTTAAATAGCAAGTAAGACAGGTAAGAAACTTCTCTGGGTTCTGCGGAAGGAAAGGTTATTGTGTCTCTGGAGGAAAGGGCCACCTCTGAAGACAGGAAACAGATGGTATTTGGAAGAACTTGGGGCCAAATGAAGAAAGAGACATTCAGGGGAAACATAGGAAAAATATATACCTGGGGTTACTTGCAGTTTTCTTTTGACTAGTTGTAACTGCACCTGAGCTTGTATGTAGAATGTCACCTTGCTTCATGCCCTGAAATGCTCTAATCCAGGAACCTTGACATCTATCCCAGAGACTCTTTTTTCCTTTCCTTTAATCTTTCCCTTTGTGTGTTTGACTCCTTTTGCCAGCGCTGGAGCAGTATTCCCTCCTGAAGGTGGGTAATTATATCCCTCCCCTCTGCCCGTCCTGTTTGCTGCCAATAATTTCCCCTCCCTCACCTTCTCCTGTTGTGCTGTGTTGGTTGATCTTTGTGGTTCTTGGCTGTGTAGCATTCACTGGGGGGGATGAAAGCCCCTCAGGCCACACAGCATGACTTATAAGGCTGGACATTTCTCTGGAGCATGCTAATGACTGGGGAGGGGTAATTGGCAAGAACTTTGGGGCTGGCCATGCCTTAGAGAACACCACAAAGAAGCGGGTCTCAAATCTGATGACTTCTCTCTCCTCATTCAGTCAGCTATTGAAAGACCTGGACAGCTGTAATAATGATCCAGTGGCTGTGGCTAATTGCTTTGTAGAAAGGGTAAGAACAGAACTCAGTGTGGTTTATCAAGTGAGATAATATATATACAGCTCTTTGTAGATCTTAAAATGTTATGTTAATGTTGATGATGATGATGGTGGTGGTGCTGGTGATGATGATGATGATGGTGGTGGTGGTGATGATGATGATGGTGGTGGTGGTGGTGATGATGATGATGTGGTGGTGGTGATGATGATGATGGTGGTGGTGGTGATGGTGATGATTATGGTGGTGTTGGTGGTGGTGATGATAATGATGGTGGTGATGATGTTGGTGCTGGTGATAATGGTGGTGGTGCTGGTGATGGTGGTGGTGATGATGTTGTTGGTGGTGGTGGTGATGGTGATGATGATGTGGTGGTGGTGGTGGTGGTGGTGGTGGCGGTGGTGATGATGGTGACGATGATGGTGGTGGTAGTGGTGGTGGTAGTAGTGATGGCAACTGCAGTGTGCAGTGATAGTGTGCTGGACCTGGAGACAGGAAAACTGGAGTTCAAATTTGGCCTCAGACATTTATTAATCCTGGGCAAGTCAGTTGACCTTTTTGTGCCTTGGTTTCCTCATCTATAAAACGAATAATAACAATAGCCCCCACTTCCCAGGGCTATTGTGAGGATAAAATGAGATAATATTTGTAAAGAATTTCGCAAACTTTAAAGTGCTATATAAATGCTGTTGCTGCTGCTCTTACTCCTCCTACTCCTACTCCTGCTGCTACTAATACTACTACCTGTACCACTCCACTGGGGAACTGACTCTTGGTAGTAGGCTGCTAAGGGGACTATTTATGGCTGCGCTGGAATAGGGACCAAAGACTCTTGGAAATTGGATGGGGCAAAGTACCCTAGGAGAGTCTCAGAGGTATGGCTTGGGTAAGTTTATGTTCACAGTCATATTAGAAAATCCTCTTTTCTTCCTTTCCTTAGAGCCAAGAATTTGACATTTATACCCAGTACTGCAACAATTATCCAAAGTAAGTAACTCCAGGCTGGAAAGGGGAGGGAGGTTTGAGGCATAACCAGACTAGTACTCTTTTCCTTCCTACCACCACCATGACCACTTCTGCCCTATGATTTCATCTCTTAGTGATGACTTCCTTCTCTCTGCAGTTCAGTGGCAGCCCTAACTGAATGCATGAGAGACAAACACCAGGCCAAGTTCTTCCGGGACCGCCAAGAGGTCTTGCAACACTCTCTGCCCCTGGGCTCTTTTTTGCTGAAGCCAGTCCAAAGAATTCTCAAGTACCACCTTCTTCTCCAGGTAACCTGCACCTGGGCTTCATCTCTGAGGTCCGGTGGGGCTGGCTGAGGCCCAATCAGGACTGAGGAAGGCAACGCTTGGGTAGACAGCAGGGTTTTCAGGGGAGAGATCAGGAACTTGACATTCTTTGTCTCTGTGTAGGAAATCGCCAAGCATTTCGATGAGGAGGAGGATGGCTTTGAGATGGTTGAGGATGCAATCGACACCATGACTTGTGTGGCCTGGTACATCAATGACATGAAGAGGAAGCATGAGCATGCTGTCCGACTCCAGGTGCCTGGGCAGTTGGAAGGTTGGACGGGAGGTCAGAAGGGAGAAAGGGCTGACAGTGTCAAGAGACGAGCCGATGCGATTGGTCCTCGGGCGGGGGGGAAAGCGGTAGAATCCTTACCAAAATAACCTAAAGAGAGAGAAGCAGGCCACACACTGGTCCTGAGGTGCTTGTATGATACCAATATCTTTGACACTCTAGTCATGAAAAATCATTTTTCATGTTAGTGACACAGCTAGGTAGAGTAATGGAGAGAGTGCTGGATTGGGTCAAGAAAGCCCAAGTTTAAATCTTGCTTAAGAAAAACTAGCTGTCTGACCCTAAGTGAATCACTTACCCTTGCTCAGCCTCAGTTTTCTTTATCCGTAAAGTGGGGATGAAAATAATAGCTCCTACCTCCAAGGGTTGTGGTGAGGATCAAAAGAGATAGTATTGGTAAAGTGTTTTGCAAACTTTGAAAATATAGAAATGCGAGCAGTTATTATTATTGTGCTGTTTTTGTTATTATCATCATAGACTGCCCTTATTTATTTCCTTTACCCCAGAGTCAAGCTGTGGCTCCTGAGTCTTGCTAGAAAGAAAGGGCTAGGGGGTGCAGTGGATAGAGCACTGGCCTTGGATTCAGGAGGACCTGAGTTCAAATCCAGCCTAGCTGTGTGACCCTGGGCAAGTCACTTAACCCCACTGCCTAACCAAAAACAGAAAGAAAGGGCTAGATTCCTTTCTCCTGGCCTGATGCCTTTTGCAACTCTACCCCACCCGCCATCTGATGTGGGATGTATTTCTCATCTACAGGAAATCCAGTCACTCCTGATCAATTGGAAAGGGCCAGATCTGACGACCTACGGAGAGCTGGTCTTGGAAGGCACTTTCCGTGTGCATCGCGTGCGGAACGAGAGGACTTTCTTTCTCTTTGACAAGGCGTTGTTCATCACTAAAAAGCGAGGAGACCACTTCGTCTACAAAGGGCACATCCCGGTAACCAGGCTTTCCCCTTCCTCCCAACCTAAGCTAGGACTCCTACTCTGTCTCCTTCTGCTAGGGAATCTGACTGCTCATTTTCCTACTTCAGAGCAGCTGTGGGTCCAGTGCGCAGCCGCCTCTGCTGTGGCTCTGGTTCTCTTCATTTCTGTCCCTCCCAGTCTGTGCCTTGGGCTGACAAGACTTTTCAGGCTGGTTTGGTCTTCTTCCTGGTGTCTAACATGTTTTTCTCTTTCTCCTTCCCTGGCCCTTTAATAGTGCTCCTCCTTGATGCTGATTGAGAGCACCAGAGACTCCCTGTGTTTCACAGTCACTCACTACAAACACAGCAAGCAGCAGTATAGCATCCAGGTGAGGAGGGGAGGGCAGGAGTGTCGTGTAACACAGGGGCCAGAATGAGAGCTCTTTGCAGAGCTCGGAAGGGACACTGTGCACGTTGGGGTCGGTTCCTTGCCTCTAGGCACCATTTCCCAGTTGTCCCTTCCCCTTGGATTTTTCCAGGCCAAATCAGTAGAAGAGAAGCGTGCATGGACCCATCACATCAAGAGGCTTATCCTAGAGAATCACCATGCCACTATTCCTCAAAAGGTGAGGGGAGCAGAGAAGAGCCTAGAGCTTCCTGGCTGTCTGTGGGAAGGAGGCATTGTGGTTACTGCTTCCAGAAGTTATTGTAACTCTGTTGTGGTAAAGGATCCTGTGGGTTTGAGGGGGAATGTGACAGATGAGTACAGTTATTCCTTCCACATTGTGGGGGTTGGGGGTAAAGTGCCCCCTCAATCTGGAAAATCCACAGAAAATTTTTCAGCCCTCCCTTCATGCCAGAGAAGAAGTCTGAATTTTTTCTTTTATGGGATGTTTACGGTACCTTATTGTAAAATTTGGGTTAAGTATTTGGTCATAGGCATACTTTATGCATTTCTAAGTTTCTGAACTTTTTCTGTGTTGTTTGTGGCTTCCACAAATTCCCCTCAAATTCCCATTTACAGTAATTTCTTACGCCAACCCGTGACATATTGAAATGACAGTAGGGAAAGTTGAGATGTGGAAGGGATAAGTGAGATACATGCATCCTTGGTGAAGCGCTGAGTAGTCCTTTAGGAGTGGTCAAAGAGTGTGTTGTGGGTCTTGTATCAGATGTTTGGGAATAACTTATTCTTTTTCCTTTTATCCCAGGCTAAGGAAGCCATCTTGGAAATGGACTCCTATTGTAAGTTCCTCCTCACTTGACTGTTTTGTTCCTGAATGTGTATGTCAGAATATCAGCGTATGCTCTGGGTAGTCTTCACGTCCACCTCCTGTTCCCTGGCTTATTTGTGTCCCATGGAGCTTAGAGGACAGAAGAGCGGTCTTAGGCATGAGAAAAGAGTCAAAGGAACATAGTGACAATGGCAGCCTGTTGTTAGGAATGGGTGGATGGCATTGCCAAGTCTTCCACCTTCTGAAAGGCATTAGTTGACTTTAGGAAATGAGAAGGGGCATTAGAAGCATCTAAGGTACTGAGGCTGAGGGAGAAGGGATAAAAAGGAGAATGGATGTGTGGAGATTCTAAAAGATAGAAATAGTAGGGAAAAAAAAATGAAATGTATATTTTGTTTGTAGACCCCCACCGATACCGCTACAGTCCAGAAAGGCTGAAAAAGGCTTGGTCTTCCCAAGATGACATGCCCACTCAAGTGCGTCAGTATCGGCGACAATCTGGTAAGGACAAAGATAATACATGAAAATTATGCTGCCAGTCAAGCAGGCTAGAAGATGAATGAATGAATGAATGAATGAATGATGAATGAATGAATGAAACTAATTAGAAAGCATTTATTCAGCACTTACTGTATATCAGGCACAGTGCTAAGTGATGGTGTCATGAATAGAAAAAAGGGAGTCAGTGCTGTCAAGGAGCTTACCATCCTGATTGAGAGAAAGAACACAGAAAAGAAAGTTCACTGCAGGATACAGATGGAAAGGCCCCGAAGTTAACGGGCCTTAAGCGCTGTCACTACTGACCTACTCCAGCTCTGTCCTTGCCTGCTGAGATCTCTGTAACTAATTATTTAGAGCTGTTGCTCTGTCTTCCTCCCACTGAAATAAAATGTGATCCAGTTGACAGCTGGGAACATCATTCCCCTGCATGGTACCTTTGCTCACGTAGGCCAGAAAAAAAAATGGGAATGGAGCAAAGGTCAAGAGATCTGAGTTCTAGTTCTGCTCATACCACTTACTAGCTGTGTACAGGTCACTTATCCTCTCTGTATCTCAGCTCCCTTGTCTAAAAAATGAGCAGGTTGGAGGAGGTGAGGACCATAATCCCTGTCCATCTCTAACATTCTGTGATTCTAATTTGCGTCTGGATCCTTCTGTCCTCATGGAGCTGGGCAAGCTACGTTATTTACTCTCTTTGAGCTTAGCACTCCCGTATTTCTGGGCCCCTTCTTAGCTAACTCGCAAGCTGAAGTATCTCCGGGGCAAGAGAGGAGTAGCTGTTCTGACATCACTGTTGGTCTCTGGCCTGCTTCTGGAATGGCAGGGCACTTAAAGGGACTGGGAAAAGCAAGTCAGATTTCCTAAAGTGGCACCAAATCGAGACGAGAAATATTTACTTTGGATCTTGGGGGGAAATTCCATTATCCCCTCAGATTATTCTCTGCCTGGGACTGTGTTCCATTGGCCCATTTGAATAAAAGCTCTCTTTGAGAAAAGTTGCGTCTGCTTTTACTGTGTCTGTTCACACTATTAATACAACTGCTCCCTCCTCCAAGAAATCTGGATACTGTTGTGTCCAGTATCTAGTTCTGTCTGCTGAGCTGAGTTCCTGGCTGTGTGTGTGAGAGAGACAGAGAGAACACACGCACACTTCTTTTTTTCCTTTCTCTCTTGGTTTCTACTCTCAGCTCTACTTAGCCAGAGCTCAGGGACAGATCTGGTTCAGGCAGGGTCCCACTAGAGTTTTCCACTTGATGGCAGATCAGACATCAGCTTGTCTTAGATAATTGGATCCAAAATTTCTGGAATGAGCAGGAGCCAGGTTTTGGCTTCACTTTCAACAAACATTCACTAGGCTCTGGTTGCCTCTGCACAATCCACGAGCACTCACATATTCCCTTGAGGATGTCTACATTTGACCCTTCGGGCTTTATTTCTCTTTGGAACCCAATTGTTATTGGCAATTTTTTCCCCCTTTCATTGAGTAGAAATATACTCTGGATCTTAGTTTAATTTTACTTGGCCTTTGGAGCAGATACCAAGTGCTAAAGTGCTGGTCTTAGAATCAGGAAGAACTGAGTTCAAATCTTCCCTCAGACAATTCCTAGCTGTATCAAGTTGTTTAACCTCTCTCAGGCTCAGTTTTCCTCATGTGTAAAATGGGGATAATTCTAGGACCTCATTGACAGGGTTGTCATGAGAATCAAATGAAACATTTTTAGCTGTTTGCAACCTTAGAACACAGGAATGTTAGCTATTATTATCATTACTACCCAGAGGGGAGATTTTCATTTATGCTTTTGTTTATGTAAAACAATGGAAATCGCAAATCTTTAAGAGCAACTTCTTAAAAGGTCACAAATTGTGTGTGTGTTACTGTATCTGTGTCATTCTCTCAGTGCCTCCTGTATGTATAGCTCTGCATTTAATTTTCTCCCTTTCCTTTCTAGAAATCTATCATGCTTAATATCTTTTTTTCTCCCAGCGTCTTTTCAAACCTGCTTTCTATCTCATCTCTACTTCCTTGGCACTGTCCTCTTAACATGCAATGTGTGTGTCTAAAGTGTTCTCTGCAGTTTTTCTGCTATGCACCAGATTTACACTGGCCAAAATTGGCGATAAGATGGTGATACTTGGGGACTATCACAGCAGAAGAAAAAGACCCATGTACAGGAAAACCTCGGCTATCCTGAAACTTTTGGGGATGTTTTCCTAATATTTTAGGGTTTCCTTTCATCACTGAAACTTGTTTTGGGCAATTCCTTGGATTAAAAAAAAAAGATATACTCCCCTGACTTCTTAAACAAGGACCAAAAAGGGGGGGGGGGGAAATACTTGTAAACATTTTTGTTTTTTCTGTTTCTTCTTGTTCTCACCTATCAGGTGTTTGCTAGTCACTCCCATTAAGTGTATGGTCTTTATAACATCCATTTTGCCTACTTTGAGGCTAGTTTTAAATCCCTTTCTTTGTTCCTGATGGAGGAAGTGCCTTGGCAAATTGTTTTAGTTAGATTTTACTCTTCATTTTTAATTTCTTTGTCATGGTTGTTGAAAATTTCATATTTTTTATTCTTAATTTTAAAAACAGACGAGTTAGTGTTTTATAATCCTCACAAGGAAAGCTAAACAAGTTTCTGTTTGTTTTTTACTTATACAGTAATTGGTTTTATTTTTTCCTTTGGGTCAGTGACCTTCAACAGTTAAGTTTTCTACCTTGGATCTATAGCTTTGGGAATAGCTAAAGAGAGAGTAATTACTGTTGTTATGTGGTCCACGTAGAAAATTAATGGGCAGTAGCTTGTATCTCCTACTTACACCAATTAGGGAAGGATGAGAGTTGGGTTAAGGGGTCAACTAAGGGATAAATTCCTCCAGAAAATACTAGTTGTCTGGTAAGCCCCTGGAAAGTCATCCTTTTGTTTTTGAAGTTCAAGGAGTGGAATTCATGTCCTACACAATCTGGTCCCACTGACTTTATTCTCATATTTCATTTATTAAATTCACTCACCCTTTATCATCTTTGTAGAAAAGGTATTCAGCCTTTGAGGAGATGCCTTTTTAAAACTGTTTTATTCAGACATTTTTGGTCCTACAAGGGTTTGGGGTAACTAGCAAGGGATAGTGTCACCTAATGGATGTATTTTTTTATCCTGTCCCCAGAGCCTGGTCACCCCCAGTGCAATCAGGAGATACTCCCCAACGGGCTGCACAGCTCCATGATGCTGGGCCTTCAGGGCCGCAGAAAGTCGGGTGCGAGCTCTGCTCTCCAGCTTGGGGCTCTGTGGCGGGTGCTCTGGGAGCTATGGGTGCTGGGCAAATGGCATTGTGCTAATAATTTTGACCTGCAGAACATGTAATTGAAGGAGGTAGTGATTTTGAGGTAAAGTGAGGAATCCATATGGTTGGTACAGTTATCTAGCCAGTCAGCCCACACAGGGAGGAATAGAAGAACTCAGTTCCCATTCCTGCTACCCTAGAAACACCAGCAAACATTTTAAAAATTGAGCTAAGTGCCAAAGCTTCTTTCTATATGCCTTGGAGGGAAGGTTTCACCTTGGTTTCTGTGGTCTCCATTTTTCCGGTCATGAACAGAGATCTATAAGGCAGACCCTATCCCCAGTAAGTACATCTCTAGAAGAGATGTAGACCTGTCCCATAAGAAGGAATAGACGTTGTCTTGGGGCTGGAACTCTTACGCCAAACTCTATAGGAATAGGTTGAGAACTATATAGAAGCTAGTCTTTGTGCTACCGTGGAATGCTCATTGAGGCGATAAGGATTCTGGGAGAGGAGGGAAGGTGTGGATTCCAGGCTGGTGAGAGATGCTGGTGGCATTGTAAGCTTGGGGCTAAGACTGGGCAGAATTCATTTCCTTAGATTGTGGCTGACTTTACCAAATGTACTTAATTCTCCAGAGCCAACCAAGCAGCTTCTCAGGCAGCTTAATGAGAAAGGTGAGTATTCAATGTCCCAGCCATCCCCCCCATTCTGGGATCATGGGGGTAGTGTGGGGGGAGGCAGAGAAGCCCCTGTTCTAGGCACAGTCCTAGTGAATGGTAATTAGGCACAAACTCTGTCAGCACCCTGCAAGGGTAGAGGAGATCAGTAGGAGCACAGATTGAAAAGAGGAAAAAAGTAAAAATTTAAAAATTTTTAAAATTTTTAAAAAAGAAAGAAAAGAGGGTAGGTTTACGAGCTAGATGCTTCCAGCTTTTGTTCTCTGCTTTTCCACTGTGACCCTGAGCAGGTTCACATCCAGTTATAGGCCTCCGCTGCTTCGTCTACTTAAAGGACCTAAAAATTGTTTCCTAGTAAGAAACTAGCCTGATTTACTCACAGTGAGGAGTGGGTGGCTGATGCTCTGGTCTTGAGGTGATAAGAGTAGGCAACTTGAACATCATCCCTGAGAAGAGCTCATGGCTGTAGTGCTCTAATCTGTATCCCTATCATGTTGACTCTACTTCCTATCCATAGTTTCATAGACATCCTAGAACCTGGGTTGAGGATCCCTAAGATGGTATCCAAGTCATACCCTCAATGCTATAGTCTTCCTGGCTTCTCTAAGGAGGTTGTTTTCTTGGCTTACATCATCTCTCTCTCTCTTTTTTTTTTCCTTCCCATGTGTTGGGGATCTGATGATGCTGGCAGCGTCAAGGACATCGGGTCTCAAGGTAAGACCAACGAGCGGCCTGGAGATGGGATACAGGATGGAACAGGGAATTGGCATTCAGGTGGGTAAGGGTATAGATACTAAGAGTCAATCCCCTATCCCATTAGCTATGATTTCTTTTATTTTCCCAGCCCTGTTTTCCCTTTCCGTGAATTATACCAGGGCAGAGTGTCTCCCATGCTCTGATTCTGTTCTTTCATATATCTCAGTCCTTGCCTCTGAGGCCATACCATTGTAGACTATACTTGGGGCTAATGCTCCCAAATTATATGCTTCATAAAAATCTTAACTAAGTCCTCTCTACCCTATGCCCCAGTTTCTCTCCACCCTTTCTCCTCTACCTATTCCTGGCCTTATATTGAGTCCCTGGTTGGTACTTGGGATAGACCAGTTACTACCACTTGCCTAAACCCACCAGAAGTTGAAAAGTTGGGAGGCAGTTGAGGTTCCAGGTTACAAGAAGGCCATGTTTGTACCTTAAACAGCATGCAGGTAGCGCTGGAGCCCTCCTGGATTTTGGACAGCTGCCCCTTACAGGGGAGCAGCAGTCTGAAGCTGAAGGGGCTGCTCAGGAGGAAGAGGAGGAGGAGGAGGAGGAGGAAGTGGTGGAGGAAGAGCAGGCCCTTCAGAAGGCCTCTCCGGAGGACCTGACTGTGAGCGATGGCAGCAAGAAGGGGGCCAGGGCTGAGCCACAAGGTTCAGAGGAAGAGGAGGAGGAGGAGGAGGAGAGTCTGGTGGTAGCTGAGCAGGTAGCCGACTTTGCCAGCTCCCTGCTGGCTGCCCTCCACTGCTGGCACTATCGAGCCAACGCTTTACTTTTCTCCCGGGGCGCTATGGTGAGGTGGTCTCTTTGATCTCCCTTCCTCTGCATGTTCCCAACGCACAGTGAATGTCTGGCTCAGAATTCCTACCCCTCCCTTCCTCCACAACCCCAAGCTTGGGTTCCTTCTGTGTCTCAATAATCAATACATCCATCTCCTCAGTAGCTGTTTTACCCTGGTGAGCCCCCAGCATGCTCTGCTTTGCCATCTGGGTTAACCTCATGCATTACTTGATAAATAAGACTAACAAGCAAAGGGGGGTGGTCTGGGTTGAAATGGAGAGAGTGGGAGATACAGATTGCCAGGGTGGCATAAAAAGAGGGTTGATTTTTCTTTCTTTCTTTCTTTTTTTTTTTTTTAAAGACAAATTTTCTAGAGCAAAAAGCTTTTATCTCCTGGCTTCCTAGTTCAGTTCAGCTCTAGAACTCTTTGGTCCTGAAGCTGAAATTCTAGGATAGGCCAGCAACTTGGTATTTCAGAAAGGTGCCTGCAGGTACAGGGGCCCCCCAAAAAGAGCTGCTAAATTAGGTCTCTAATTTCTGACTATGTACACCAGTGTTTGGTGTTGATTCCGTCTCTCTGTTGGGGGCAGGTTAAAGGGCATGACGAATACGAAGTAGCCAAAGGCTATAAAAGGCCCAGTGGCCAGTCTCTAACGAGTCCTGAGAAGCGCATGAGCTTTGAGTCTGTCTCCTCCCTGCCAGAGGTAAGTACTTGGTGATGACGTGGCAAGGTAGGCCTGGGCAGGGACGCTGGTATCGTTAGAGGAAGCACCACAAAGGAAACACACTATGTTGTTTTCAACATCGTCAATAAAACCTCATCAGAGATCCCCAGTTTTCTGCCTGAGATTCAACAGATATGTATTAAATGTGTATTCTGTGCAAGACACTGCTCAGATGATTTTTAAGAATATAGGTCAACCTCTAACCTCTTATTCACCCAGGAAGAATTGATTTTCAGAGGTCATGACCAAATCCCCGGCTTATACATACTTTTTTTTTTTTTTTGGTTAGGCAACAGGATTAAGTGACTTGCCCAGGGTCACACAGCTAGTAAGTGTTATGTGTCAGTCTGAGGCCAGATTTGAACTCAAGTCCTCCTGAACCCAGGGCCGGTACTCTATCCACTGCGCCACCTAGCTACCCCATAGCTTATAAATACTTGATAGGACTCTAAGCTTGGGACTTTTGTAACTATTCCATACTGAAGATTCTAGAGTCATGGGGGAGGTTGATGAAACTTTCTGTATCACTTCCATAGTTCTGAGCTGCAGTAGAAATCCCCATCCCAAACCCCAAATCTACAGAGCTCCAGTAGTAAAAGTGCAGAACGGTGAAGGCTTTAGTGAACTGCTAGAAAATCCCCTTTCACCTTTACTACGAGGCTGTCAAGACTTTAGTCTGGAGATTAGAGCAGGAGTTACCTACTGCATGTTGAGACTAATAGATGTGGGTGGAATGCCATTCCTAAGACCCCTACTTTCCCACTTAATAGTCTTTCCTGAAAGTTTGGGCGTTTGGAAACATGTGCCCAGGCTTCCCCTTTCCCCAAAGTATCAGCTCTCCCTCACCACCCTTGTGATCCTGACCTGTCAGCTGCCGTAAGTAAGGTCCGTCACTGGGCTGTGAGGAGGTCAGGTTGCTCCTCCCTTAGCGTCCTCTGAAAAAGAGCTCATGTAATTGTGTGTTTCAGGCTGAACCAGATACGGAATCTGAAGCCAGGCAAGGGCTGTTCCCAGCCACAGAGGGTGATAGTGGAGAGGTGATGCAGTCAGACATAGAATCATCATGCATCCTGGAACAGCATCACCAGGAGGTGCTAGGGTCTGACCATCCAGTCAAAATGGTTGACCGTGCAGTTGCTGAGAACACAGAGGACCTTAAAAACCTCAGCAGTGAGGAAGAGGAGGAAGGAACAGTGCCGGAGCCAGAGAGCATTCTGCCAACGTCTGTGCTGGACCAGGCTAGCATCATTGCTGAAAGGTTTGTCAGCACCTTCTCCCGGCGCAACAGTCTGGCTCTGGAGGACGGCAAGGCCAGTGGCTTTTTGACTCCCCGGCTGGTCAGTCGGAGTAGCAGTGTCCGGAGCCTCGATGGCATCGAGAAGGGGCCAGCCAACCACTGTGGCACCACAGACTCACTCAGCTCCTTGCTGCCCCTAGAAGCAGAATCTGATGGTGGGCTGGCCTCAGAGAACAGCTCTACCTTCAGTAGAGCTGTGCCTCCAAGCCCCAGCTGCTCAGGAGAACCTGAAAGGTTGTCTAGCAAGAAGGAGGACACGCTTTCCACCCGAGACCGACTGCTACTTGACAAGATCAAGAATTACTACGAGAATGCGGAACACCATGATGCAGGCTTTAGCATCCGGCGCCGAGAGAGTCTTTCCTACATTCCTAAGGGCTTGGTAAGGAACTCTGTGTTCAGGTTCAATAGCCTTCCTAGGCCAGAGCCTAAACCAGCGGCCCCTGTTGGGCGCAAAAGACTAGACAGTTCCAGACCTGCTTCTTGGACTCTCTTTGATCTCCCTGGACCAGGCCAAGCTGGTTCTAGGGACCCTCCCCCCATCACTGATGCCGAATTCCGCCCGTCATCAGAAATGGTGAAGATGTGGGAAGGAATGGAGTCCTCTGGAGATATCTGCAAGAACCCAGCAGAGGGGAACGAGATGGAATCAGGCCTGAGCAAGGAGAATGGCTTTGACCTGCGCGAGCCACTGTTCATCCTGGAGGAGCATGAGCTGGGAGCGATCAGCGAGGAGCCAGTCGGTCCCTGCCTAGAGGGCATCACCCTCCCTGATCGAGCTGGCCGTGCCCAGCTGGCCAGGGAGCTAAAGGAGCTGGTAAAGGAGCTGAGTGGCAGAGATGAAGAGCTACCCTCTCCACTGCACCCTCACATCATGCAGCTCTCCCACATGATGGACAGGGACTTGACTGAGCGTGTCAAGAACAAGGTCTACCAGCTGGCCCGTCAGTACAGTCTCAGGATCAAGAGCCATAAGCCCACGATGCCTCAGCGAAGAAAGGTAGATCCAGAGCAAGGGAAGAGTCTGGCCTTGCCCCATCTGCAGGAGGAGATGCGAGAGCTACCTTACAAAGGTACAGTAATGGGAAGGACGCTTTTCTACCAGTCGGCTCCTGCTTATGAGAAAGTTTAATCCTTAAGGAACTTTTGGAAATGCAAAGTGCTGCTGGTGGCGGTGGGGCTGGAATGGCCTTTATTTTCTCTTACTGCCAATGGAAAAAAAAAAAGGGAATTGTATCAGCAGTTGGTCAAAGCCCCCAGAAAAATGCCTTAATAAACAAAGTATAGTAGAAAGCACACTGGGTTCAGTCAGAAGACTTGAGTTTTAGGACTGATTCAACCCTTTCAAGCAGTGGATGTGGATAAGTCATACTTCTTCAAGCCTCACTTTCCTCATTTATAAAATGGGTATAAAACTTTACTCCACGGGGCTGCTTTGACAAAAGTGCTTTATAAATCTTAAAGTGTAAACCTTTATATATAAAGGTGTACTATTATGAATATTAACATCAATAATATGGGCCAGCAATCCCTGGCCATAACTGCTGAACAAAGAGAAATTGGGGGGGAGGGGGCAGGACAGACATTTATAATCCATTGAAAAATGCTCTTACATCCACTTGGTTCCTAATCTTTTTGTATTGCATTTCCCTGCTTTATTTCCTTATCATTATAGGGCTCTTCCTTTTGTTTTGTCTAAGGTGATATGGGAATGATAAACAAGAGCAAAATGAAACATTAAAATAGGTAGCCCACATATGTATTTGACAGTCACCAGTCAGATCATCCTCCTAATAGCTAGCAGTGAAAAAGCTCATTTTCCTACTTCTCTTTATCTTACTTGGTACTCATTTTGCTGTTCTTTTCCCCATAGGTAAAATGAAGCCATTACTGTCCCTCTCAAATAATGAACAAGTAATGGTCTTGGAGCATGGCCCCTTCAAGTCCACCTCAGCAAGGGAGAAATCACCTCGACGCTTCTACAGTTCTTCTTCCTCAAAGGCCGGCTCTCCTGGAGGCTGGGCATCTAACCGCAGTCCCCTCAGTCCTGTTGACGTAGAAACTTTCCACTGGCCAGATGTCCGTGAGCTCTGTTCAAAGTATTCTTCCCATGAGGAGGCTACCCAGGCTGGACGAGGCCGGCGTCAAGGCCCTCCCATCAACCGGAGCCTCTCGGTACCAGAGAACATCATGGAGCCAGCCCCAGTGGGGAAGATGAGTCGCTGTTGCAGCCTGAACACCCACAAGAGTAGAAGAACCCAAGAAATAAGCCAGCCTCAGCCTCATAAGGATCTGTTTTTACTTGGCTCCTCCCAAATACCAGGGCAGGAAGTAGATGAAGCTTTGTACCTCACAGCAGACTTGACCCTGGAGAATAACCGGAGAGTCATCATCTTAGAGAAGGGGCCACCACCACTGATAGGTGAGGGAGAGCAAGACAGCCATGTGCAAATCCAGTTACCCACCTCCCCGGAAAAGATCTCCTTGAAGGCAGTGGTAGAACGATGCAAGGCTTACCAAGAATCAGAGGAGCTCCGCTGGCAAGAAGAGGGGGGCCGGGGCCCTCAGCAAATATGGCAAGCGGATGCAGCTGATATGGCCCAACAGGGTCGAGTGAGAAACCTGAGGGAAAAATTCCAGACCTTGAACTCAAATGGTTGAATTAGGCTTCTTAGGAGAGAGAAGGGAAAGTGCTGCTGAGATGGGGGAAGAGCTATACCTGTGTGTGATGGACCTTCTCAGACTTCCCTACCTGCATCCCAGCTCCTCCCAAGCCTCGACTTTCCCAGTGTGCCTGCCTCTCTTCTGACACCAGATTATGTGGAGTAAACCTTTGGCTGTTCTGCACCCTCTGTCTCTCTTCTCCATTCTAAGTAGGCACTGGTGCTGATGGTATGTTTAGCACATACTGTGGCCTGCTGCCTTGTGCTGCTGGCTGAAAAGCTCCCTGGGGGTTGAGACCATTGTTATGCCAATAGGACTCCTTGTTGTTACAGTCCGAAGCCTGTGTAAACTATTTCCCTTTTATGTTTTTTTTTTCTTCTGGTATAAGACCAAATATTTAAGTTCACTTCTCTCCAGGGAGAGGTGCCCACAGGCCATGGTCTGCATCTTGCCAGCCACTGCCAGGCTGAAGAGTATACCCGGAAGAAAAATGTGAGAAGGTGGCTCGGGAGGATTTCCTTTATTAAATGCTCCTGTTCCAATGATTCAGGGAGAAAAGAGAAGTCTGGGACTTGAACAATAATTTATTACTTTCCATCCTGTGGGGTGTGTATTTGTGTATGTTTGTGTATGTGTGTGTGTGGTTTTTTTGTTTATTTCCTTCTTCCCCTTTCCTATTTTTAAGAATGTAATTGACTCAGTCCAGGTACTTTTGAGGGTTGCTTTGCTGACCCAATGGTTGTTTCTAATGTACACACATTTTATCCCTTGCCAATGGTGCAATAACCCCTGCTGACCAGCCAACCCTGTCTCCTGCCTCGTTATTAGGAATCAGAAGATAGGCCAGTTGAGGGCTGGGATTATCGCTTCAGACCTTGGGACAAGATGGGCTGGTGTTACCTTACCTATGGGGCCATGCCTTTCTGTTCTCTGAGGAAGGAAATGTCCTGGGGAATTGAGGGCACTGGAATGAACAGAGAATTTGTTTTCTGTAATGCTCTGCTCTAGAGCTCAGGTCCCCCTTTGAGCAGATGGAGTCTCCCAAAAGGGCTTCCCTCTCCCTCACCCTGATACTAGGACCTGGAGTTTTGCAGCACAAGCAGAATATATAAGAACTAACCTTGAGAAGATATATAGCAAGATGTTTACTGTGAAAAAGATGTCTCAGTATATAGGTAAGGGTCTGTTTTGCCAAGTACATGTTCCTCTTCTGCACCCCTTCTTCCCAGCTTCCTGCCTCCATCAGCAGCAGCCCGGTGAGCTGTTCTCATTATCAATATTATTCCTGCCTCATTGTGTGTCGTGTCTGGTAGGGACAGATACAATATATACTATGGATGATTCTGTAATTGTTCAAGTGACAGCATAAGAAAGGAACAAACCAAGTGCTATGTGAGATCTGGACAAGGAGGTGGGACGATGATTACTGACGAGATCAGGGGAACAGTCATCATGTCTTTGAATTGGGCATCTAAAGACAATGCAGGCGGAATGGACATTTCAAACATGGGCACGGGGCAACGTAAGCAAAGGCGTTAGGGATGACAGTGGAAGAGTGCACGGGACAATTGGGAGACATAGCAGGAGAAGACAGGAAAGGCTTCAGATTGCTGAATGCTAGGGTAAGAATTTTTAACTGCTTGTCAAAGTTACAGGAATGCACTGAAGGATTTTAAGCAGTGAAGGGACATGACTAGATCTATGCATAAGGAAGATTAATCTGGAAGCCGTATGAGGGTGAATTGGGGGGGGTGGGAGTACCATTTGGGAGGCAATTCAGTGTGGGCCTGCCCTAGGTGGAAAAGACTGAGAAAAATCATGGAGTAGAATAGATGGGGATTTTATAAACAATTGGTGGTGGGAAGGGGGGGAGAGGTAAAATACCAAGGTTTTGATCATGGAAGACTCATCTTTTATGGTCCCATCTTTTGGCATGGTGGTGCCACACATAGGGAATTAGGGAAATTAGACATTTGGGGGAAACTTTTTTGTGGACATGTTGTTTGGGAGTACTAACACATCCCACTGGTGATCATAGGTCTAGAACTGGAAAAAATTAAAAGACGTAACTGAGGTCAAGCGGGGTTAAATGATGTGCCAAGGTTACACAGGCAATGTCAGAGATAGGATTTGAAGTCAGGTTCTTAGCCTCCATACTGTTTTCCCTTAGTGTAGGTGGTTGGAACTGTTATGATGGAGTTTGGGAGAGGCGCAGAGGTTTAAAAGTGAGACCATGGGAATAAGTGACATTGTCACAACATCATAAAGGGAATATAAGAGGAATGAAGACAGGATCTTGGAAGATAATCATCTTAAGGGATGAGAGAGGAAGAATGACCTAGCATAAGAGACAGTGAAGGAGTAGTTAAATAGAACCAGAAGCAGATGACATCTCTGAAGCCAAGGGGAGAAGAGTATACATAATGAGGAGGTGGTTAACAGTGTTAAATGTTTTAGGAAAGTCAAGGTAGAGGGCAGGTAATAATAGACCATTGGATTTGGGCAACGACGAGGTCATTGGTGACTTTTGAAAGAATAGTTTCAGATGAGTGGTGGAGCAAGAAGACTTATTTGGCTTCAAAGTTTGAGGATAAAATGTGTGCTGAGAAAATAAATGCATCAGGGAGAGATGTTTTTCTAAGAAATTTGGCCTTGAAGGGAAGGAAAGAGATAGGAGGGTAAGTAGCTAAAGTGTTTGAAGGACATAGGGAAAACTTTTTTAGGTTGGAGATGTAGGCAGGTGAAAAAGTGTCCTTGGAAGAAAGATTGAATATGCTCAAGAGAGCGGATTACTGAAATTACTATCTTGGAAATGAAATTGAATGGAATCAAGGATGAAGGTAATTATGTTACGTGAGAACTAGCCAGGGGAGCTTTAGCTATTTGAGGAATAAGGAGGAAAGCATCTGTATATGACAGTGTGGTAGATATGATTGGATAGATACCGGACAAGATATAGAGGGCCTTAAATTCCAGGCAGAAAAGTTTGGACCTTTTCCTACAGATAATGAGAAATAGAGATTTTTGAATAGGGAAGTCTTATGTGAAATTGCTTAGGATGGTAAGACAGTTAGGTGGTACGGTGGATATAGCTTTGAACCTGGAGACCCAAGTTCAAATTCTAACTGCTGTCCTAACCTCAGACAGTTATGAGCAATGTGACTGCGGGCAAGTAACTTAACCTCTCTCTGCCTCAGTTTCCTCATCTATAAAATAGGAATAACAATAGCTCCTACCTCAGGGTGGTTGTGAGGATAAAATTAGATATTTATAAAGTGTTTTGCAAACCTTACAGTGTTAATGTACATATTATATTACTACTATTATTACCTAGACTGGAGTGGCATGGGGCCTGGACTAGGGTACCAGTGGCATAGAGAGAAAGGGGTTGCAGTTAGAAGCGTTGTGTAATGGGAAAGGACTAGATTTAGAGTTGGAAAGTCTGGGGTCAGATTTTCTCACCCTGGCTCCCCTTATATGGCCTCAGTAAAATGAGATTAAATGAGGTGCTCTCTAAGGCTCCTTGCAGCCCTAAATTCTATGTGTCTCCAACGTGTTCCCTTCCTGAACCAGCTTCACCTTGGTTAGCTTTTCCTGATGCAAGACATCTGTGAATATAGGAAGCAGGTAAAAACAGGATGACTTGAGGTTGCAAAGGTGAAGTAAGAGTAGAGTAAGGCCTTTCCTGTAAACCTTTCCAGCCTCATAACAACTTTCAGAACTTGTGTTTCATCTATGTAGCCTTCAAGAACCCAAGAGCACCACCTCCATGCCATCTCTATCTTTAGAGTGAAACTTGGCCTTCTAAGGCTTTGCCTTAGGGAATGAGTTATTTGAAATAAATGAATTTTCCAAGTAGCTTCTCTAAGAACCAAAATTTTTTTTGGATAATTTTGGATAGAAATCTTTCAGAAATATATACCTACTTCCCAGTACATTCAGCATAATTTTTCTGAGTAATCAAGGATCACCATTACGAACACTAATTATTTATTGTACTATATAATATGGCAGGTGCTCTTTGGGCCACTTGTGTTGTATAGGGGATGATTGTTTCTTTTTTCCTCCATATTGAATGACTTAAGATTGCTATAGGTTTTTTAGTTGTTTTTTTAAATGTATCTGTTTGTCAGTCTGTCAATTTCTCATTGTTCTTTATCTTGCTATAAGCAGCTCTTCTCCTGGCTTCTAATTTGTTGTAGACTTAGAATCCAGATAAACAAATAATGTTAGAACTGTTTAAAAAAAAAAAAGAAGAGTAAATCAAATTTGGATAAAAACCTGAGGGGCTCTCCTGAGGATGAAGGGCATTAACTTTAGGTGGGCTTGACACCTTACTTTAGCTGCCCAAAGTCCAGCCCCTTCTTCCTTTCTGGTGGCGCTCCATCACCTTACAGATAGACAGGTTAGCAGACAGCTTACTATATTACTGGAGAAAGACGTGACCATTAGCAGAATGTTCTGGAAATGTGAGTCCCGCGTGACCCCTGGTGCACTGTCATTTCCCTACTTGAAATTTTTCTGACTGGCTTCAAGAGATACCACAGGATTAGAGTGTGTCTAACCTGTTGTGGGGGAGCGGAGAAGAGAGAAACAGTAGCTACCTCTGCAATTTACTATTGAGCCTCCAGTTGTACAGAGGCCATTGATGTTGTCTCCACTGTTTCTCAGACTCCACCAGTTGTGGTACAGAACACTGAATTTTTCCTTCTTGCTTTACTGACTTTGCTCTCTCATGCCTGGCAAATCCCTTTCCCCAATTCAAAAGGGAACCATTCAAACACACGAAACAATAGAAGAGATCAGGGAGTTATTAGTTTATTAGAAAAACTCTATTAAATGAATTGGGAAGCTCTTCCCAAGCAAAAACTCAGGTTTGATTTTCCTCTCTGCACAGTGGAAGCACATTTGAGCAGATGGAGATTAGCGCCCAGCTGGTTGGAGGGTCTGTGCTCACTGGGCTCCGCTATTCTCAGGGTCCCCCTCACACCTCACCCACCCTCCCTGAGTTCTCTTGTCCATGGTACAAAGTTGTGTGATGAGCTGACATCATTTGCCTCGTCTTCCTTGTTCCTGTAATCTTTTCCAGGAACCTTTCTGGGTTCCTTGAGCCTGGCAGGAAAGCAGAATGGTTTACAGCAGATTTCAGCCTTCATCCTCCTGCGACAGTACCAAATAGGGAGTTGGAGGCCCCCTCCCTGCATACACAGGTCCAACCCTGGCCCACATCTAGATGAGGGGAGCAAAGGATAAATGGGTAGATGAGAATCAACTGAGCCACTCCCTCAAAAAAACATTCTGAAGAGAAGACAAGCCTGTTAGACTAACAGGGACAGCGGTGTGAACCTGGTATAGGAAAAGGATGAAAGAAAAAGACCATAAAGTAGAAAATGTAAGAAAATTATGTAGCTCCCCGGGAGCTCAGTCCCGGTGGTGCATGACCTAGCCCATGGTGAGTAAATTGTCCTGCAGTTTCAGCCCAGTTCTGTCTCCTGCTCAAGGTGGTGGTCAGGATGATAGAGATGGAAAGGAGCAGAAGGTGGCATTTCACATACCTGAAATGAGGTAGCTGCCCCCATGAGCTCTCCCAGGGATCTGGGGTGGGATGTTTATCTCTCCTGAATGTGCCCTTTGGGGTAGCATGGGATGGGGAAAATAATAGTTTATGGCATCCTCCCCACCCCCCATTCCAGCCCCAGGTAACTCCTTAAGAATTCCCCCACAGAAATGTTGAGGAAAGTTGCTGCCATGAGAAGCTTCTCTGTAGACTCCTGATTAGAGCCAGTTTTTGTAGATGCCAAATGCTGCCTCACCTATTTTTTTTTTTGGCCAGGTAGGTACCCTTCTATTTCATATTCCCCTGACCACAGTGGAATGCTACATGCCAGAGACCACAATACTCTAGGTGGCCAACAGAGAGTTGGAATTGGATAAATTAAGAGATCTGATGCCAACTAAAGGTCATGTCACTGATCTAGGGCTCAAAGAGGACTCTTAGTTCCTGAAGTGGACAGACTCACCCTGGGAATGCTAGGCTCCTATCAAGCAACTTCTCATGTTCTTTGATCAATAATCCTTGAAATACACCTTGGAGTAATGCCAGAGCAAAAGGACAGAAACCATACAGCTCTCCTGTACGCTGCCTTCTCCCACCATCAATGGCCAGGGGTTAATGTGAGAAGGGAGAACTTGAGAGGTGTAGGCCAAATGGGTGCCTCTAAAGGCTTCTGGGCACCAATGGGTACAGCTTGAGCTGCTGTTGCTCAGTATCTATCCACAGTGCTGTCCCCAGCAGAGCCCTCACCTTTTCATAAGGAATTTCAAGTTACTCCAGTTCCCTTTCTTCAGTAAGACGGTGGAGACAGAGAATGCAGGTCCTTTCACTGGACCTGGGAGAATGAGGATGTCTTCCTCTTCAGGCTCCGGACCCTAATCCACTTATTCTTTCCCCTTGGGGAAATGTTATGTCTCCTTGTGCTTGTCCCTAGAGACTGCAACCTCCACTTCATCACTGGCCCCTATCCTTCCTTACAAGACATCACTTAGAGTCAGGTTGCTCTCAGAATGGAGCAATGGAAGGGGAGGCTTGTAAAATTCAGTCTCTGGCCTCCGGGAATGGCCCTGGTCCCATGTAAGAAGGTTTTTCTTGAGAGACAACAGGATGTACAGATCTCAGATTTATCTGTGAGCAGAGGGGGAAGATGAACTCTGCACCCATCTGTCCCCTTCAGGACTCAAAGCCTTCTTGCCCTTCTGAAAGATGTTCCTCTTTGAAGCCCCATGGATGGATGAATACACCATTACTGTGTGCTCACCTCCTAATAGGCTCCAACTCTAGCATGAGGTGGTATTCTAGCTACATGTAGTGACTGCTTACCTCTGGTTGTCAGTGACATCATTCTCTGGGCACTGTGGGATTCTCAACCTCTGTCTCAGTAGGGTGAGATGCTCTGGGCTTTCTGCTAATCTGGTACCTTCAAGGGTACCAGCTGGAAAGGAAGAGTGAGTGCATTGGGGTCTTCAGCTTTGGAGTGTTCTTAGGCCCCTTTGGCTGCTGTCCAACTGGAGTCTGCAGAATCTGCACTGTTACTCCCTCAAGGGCCCCAGATCAGCACGGAAGGAGGAAGGGCCCTGAATCTGAGTTATATGTATATATATAAATATTGCTACTAGATTGATCTGCTGATGAGGTTTAAAACCAGAGCAGAGGCAGAGGCAGAGACAAGGGATCAGTCTCCTCTCAGGGCTTAGGATTCAGGAGCTCTAACCATCATTTTTTAAAGAGCTCTCTTGTCCCTTCTTCCTGCCACCCAAGTAATGGGTACTGACCTGGGCAAATTGCTGGCAATTAGTTATACAGTTCAAGAAGGACTCCCAGAAAACTGGCCTTATGAACAATGGCATTATGGGGAGGGCAAAAGTGGATGGCACTGGAGGCGGAAGTCCCATTTCTTGGGGAAGCCTATGGACCTGGATGATATCCATGGCTCTGTAACCTTTCTTTACCGTCACTCTGTCCAAATGCTAAGATTCTGCATGTCCTTAAGCTACAGGATGTTTATCCTGGGACAGAGCAGGAGCTGAGAAGCTTGCCTCCACTTCTCCTAAGCCCACCATTGAAAGGGTGAATGGGTGTGAGATAGCAGTCAAATCATAGGTTGCTTGGGGGCAAGGGGAAGAAAAAAGTAGTATGTGAGGCCTAAAGGAGCCTTCATCCTAGAGGAGAGGGTGGGGCCGGTGAGTCCATACACAGCTCAAGGACACAGGATATATAGGTGTCTGATTAAGGTGTAGTGAAGGACTGCGGAAAGGCTTCTGCCCTACACAGGCCCCTTTTTCCCTTCTCTGGGCATGTCTTTAGTCAGAGAAATTCTCTCCTACCTCAGTGATTTCCCAGGCTGGGCAGGGGAGTAGTATTGAGAGGAGTGGAAAGTAGGCCCATCCTAAATTAGAAGACAGGGAAAGTGATAGTAGACAAGGAGTGCAATCCCAGCTTTGCCCTCAAAGGTCTGCCATGCCACAGGGCCCTCATGTGGGATGAGGTGACAGCCCCTTATATAGTGCAGTGTTAGTGCTGAGAGGGAATGGAATTTACCCTCCAGGCTGTTCTGATTCAGTCCAGCCTATTCCTCTCCCCAGACCTGGGCTGAGACTGATCCTTAGCCCCTATGACCACATAGGGGTGGACTGGGCTACAGACAAAGGCTGGGTCAATGGGGCTAAGGAGACACATGGGGTAGGGGGAAGAAGGGATTGGCCGGGGAGTGGCCAGTGGATTGTGGCTGAGGTAAAGCTTGTGGGCATCCTGCCTGGACAGTGGAGAGTGGGGGGTTGAGGGAAACGATGGTTGGCCTGGGCTGGGGGCCTCTGCACTGAACGTCCTGAGCAGAATTAATGTTGTCCAATGGGGTGGGGGTCCAAGGTGGACCTTTCACCTCTCTCTCCTTCACCTGCCCCCATCCCACAAAGGAATAGGGGAAGGAGCTATTTCTTTTTGGGGAAGAAGCTGAATCTCTTCTCCTTGTCCTTCTTTCCAAAGCTGGTGTCTGTGCCGGCGATGGAGGGTAGGGGGAGGCTCTGGGCCTTAACTTGGATGCTTTGGGACTCGGTGATAGCTGTGCTCACACCCTGAAGCCAGGAGAGCATCTCTTCCTGTGGAAGGGGAGAAAGAAAAGGAAAAGAGGGGTAAGGGAGGGAGCTAGAGGTAAGTATCCCCTACACCTTGGAAAGAGGGTATGTTGTGAAATAACCCCTCAGCTACAGGCTCAGTCATCACTGAATGCTGGTATGAAATTGTACAGTAATAACCCTAACCCAGTGGCTTCTAGGTAGAAAGGAGCAGAGGCTATGTCTATGTCAGTTGGTGTGTGCACATGTGCATGCCTGTGTATGTGTAAGGAAAATAAGTGTATCAATGAATGAAAGAGGAACACGGAAGCTCAAATTCACTTTTTCCGACATTACTGTTCAAGCCCCTCATGAGGTCACACTGAAGATGAGCCTGAGTCTCAAACACGTGTCTATGTGACCAAAGCTGGCCCTGGAAAAGGGCAAGACGGGTTGAGCCATCCTTGTGCTTCATGAGGCCTTTCAATGTTTTAGTTTTGCGTTTCAGAACTAAACACTAGAACACAAGGTAGTTACCCTACCTAATGCGGGTAGGGCTTCCCTCAGGGGAGGTCACAGATATATACGTAGAAACAGACACATAATAGGATACACAAATATATATGTGTGTGTATATATATATGTATATATATATATATATATATATACATATATATATGTATATATATATATATATACATATATATATACACACATTCTCTCTCTCTCTCTCTCTCTCTCTCTCTTTCTCTCTCTCTCTCTCTCTCTCTCTCTCTCTCTCTCTCTCTCTCTCTCTCTCTCTCTCTCTCCACATATATGAAATATACATACAAAATTGCCTGAAGACAAGGGAGCCTACTGTGTATTCCACAGGATGTTTGGGACAAGACCAGATGTGCTCTCTTGGGGGACAGGCATCTTTGACCTCCCTCTGGTACCAGACTGAGTAAGGTCAGTCCTGTGTTTAAAGGGATATGAACCACATCCTCCTCCACCTTGCACCTCCACCTCCACCCATGGTGCCTTGCATAATGCTACCTTCTCTTGCAATGTTTGTGCTTTTCCTATTCTGAACTTACCTCATCCTTGCCATGGAAAAGCCATTCACTGCCATTACTCAACCTGGAATGAGAAAGAGTTTCTTGTCCTGTGGTTGCCCCTATAAGGCCCCAACACAGATTAAGCAAGAAGCTAGTTCATATCTTTGAAGGACTCTATATCCCCATTTCTCTCAGACTTCTACCTCACAGCAGCCCCTACAAATAAATGTGCCTCAGGCCAAAGTAGAACACAGCTATTTGACCCTAGGGCCTTCTGAGCTTTGAGGGATCTTTGAAGGTTGGGTTGGTACTGATTCCATTCTCGAGTGGACTATAGCTCAAGTCAGGAAGTTTGTGGCCTCATTAGGCCCAGCTGAAGGTAAACTAAAGCCCTCCTTGGAGGCTTCAACATCTGCTTGGGGCCAAATACTCCAGAGAAGCCATGAACCCAGTCTAAACCCAGGACTGCTGAGTCTTCTTGGAGGGTATGGGGGGCAAGCTTCTTGGGGCATAAGGGGAAAGGGTTGAGATTAATTCCCCTCCCCATTGTCCCAGGGACTGAGAATTCTGGTAAACTAGCAGGGTCAACCTCACCCAGGAGACTGTACGCTCTTTGGACCTAGATGAAGGTCCTTACATGTAGTCACGCCCTCTCAGCTAGCATCCTGTTTGATTTACCAGCTGCCTTGACCTACATGAATTCCACACAACCTTGAACTCTTGATGCTTAGGGTAGAAGAATGGATGGTCCCTGCCCCAGCCTCCCACACGACTTCACCTCAATTTAAAGACATGTTTCTTCTTCTTATAGTCAGCAGCAACTTCACAAATGGCATGCCTCAGACCCAAAGGCTCTTCCCCATGGTATGGCACCCCCATGGCCAAATTCTTAGCATCTTTGTAGAATGTTAACTCATTATTTCTGAGCACACAGTACAGGTTATTCCAGGACCTGAAAATGAGAAAAAAAATAGAATCTCTGGTCACCTCTGGGCCCAAATGCAGTTCTTAATAATAATTTTTATATTGGTAATAACACCTTTTAAAAACTCATCTCATTTCAACCTTACAACAGCACTGCAGCGTAGAAAGGTTATGCTCACTTGACAAGGCCATTGAAGCACTGAGGTGAAAAGTCCCATAGTAAATTAGCAGCAGACCTGGAACTTAAGGCTGATAATAGTATGATACCTTACAATGCTTTACAGTTTTCAGAGTGTTTTCCCACAGCTAATCTCAGAGGATGCTCACACTTTCCCTGTGAGTAAGACAGGTTTGTTATCCCGATTTGACAGATGAAGAAACTGAGGTTTAGAGCCAGTAACTGGCTCTAAAGTAACTCTAAGAGCCTCCACATGCACTTTTGCTACTTCCAGGCTTGGTCCCACTGTCCACTTCATTGTTACCAGAATTATACCACCTTCAAGAACCTAAACTCTGAAATTCCTCTCTCCGACCATAATTTCCTGCTCTTTCATCTCTCCTCCTAAGAGCTGGCATTAGACACCAGATCTTTTGTGAAAGCCTTCTACCCCGACTTTCTTAATGTAGGGCCTGTGACTTCCACCCCTACATGGTGGGGCATGCTGTCTTACTGCACCTCAGAGTTTATTCCTTGAAGAGCCCTAGCCCACAACTAAGTGAGGATAACGTGGAACAGATAGCAGACTCATTGGGTAAGGGCTCATCTGATTCAAAAATGCTTCTTTATGATGAGCTGGACCAAGCTAAATTGGCCTCAGGTCAATTCGAATCAGACCAGAGAAGTTCTGGCCTCCTTGGTCTTGGAAGATTCATTTTATTACTTGATAGGCTTGGGGATATGGCAAACTTCAGAACTCTGGGCCCTGATGAATAGTCACAACCCCTAGGAACTCTTGGGCCTCCCTATGGCTACTGTCCACAGAAGGAAGCTTTGAAGAGCATCCTTAGCAGGGGCTGACTGGAGGTGGTTCTGTAAAACAAGGAAAAGGGTATATGTCTTAGTGCCCTAATGTGGGGATTCTTAATTTTTTTTTGTGCCACGGACCCCTCTGGCATTCAGGTGAATCCTATGGGCCCCTTCTCAATAATATCTTAAAATAGATAAAACAAACAAGTTCACAGACCTCTGCTAGGGGATTAAGCCCAAGGAATCTGACCAAGATGTGAATGGCCCCCAGGATCTGCAAGTAACATGAGGACAGCATGAAGCCCCAGGGAGTTCCTTAGGTGGGTCCTGAGGCTGTTGGAGTTGGGTACAGAACGATTACCAGGCCTGCCTTGGATCTCACCCCCAGTTGCTCCAGAGAAGCCCCTGGAACAAAGGACTGGGAGCAGGTGAAGGCCATGGAGAGTTTCAGTGACTATGGAGGGACCACTGCAAAGGTCGATTAGTCGTAGCCCATCAAGTCACTATCATGGTTTGTGCTTTTAGATATGCCAGTAGTGGCCTAGCTATATGAAGATTTGTATAGCCTAGCTCTATTCCTTGAAGGAGCCCCTTTGTTAACCCAGTACTGGGGGCCCCACTGCTGACCCGAGATGCGCCTGGCATCTCTCACAGCTCAGAAACCTCCTGACTGAGGCGCTATTGTGCTACATCCCCTTAGTTCTTTTGTGGTTAAGTGACTTGCCCAGAGTCACAAAGCTCGTGATGTGTCTGAGATTTGAACTCAGATCCTCCTGACTCCAGGGTCGGTGCTCTATCCACTGCACCGCTTAGCTGCCCCCATCCCCTCATTTCTGACCCTAGCCTGCTGCTGAATCTAATCTCCTGTTGGTGGTGAAGGGAAGATGTCTAGAATCTGATGGGGGAAAAGGAGAGAAGGATGTCCTCATGCCCAAAGTTAAGCCTCAGAATCAGCCCACAACAAAACTGCGCAGCACATTCTGTTCTCAGACCCCCAGGCCTCCCCTTTTGGCACCCTTTTCCTTTTTTACCTTCCCCTCAAAGTATTGCATATCTTTCTGCACTCTCTCCATTCTCATAGACCAAGAGAAGGACACTTAGAGGTTCTTTGATCGCTGAGATCATACGATCAGAGGATTTAGAGGTGGAACAAACACTAGAGCTCACTCCGATCTTTTCATTTTATAGCTAAAGAAACTCAAGCTGAAAGCACTAAATGACTTGTTCAAGGTCACACAGACAGTAAATAGCATAACAGGAATTCAAATCCAGACCTTCTGAGCCTAGGTGCAATTATCTCTTCATTATAGTTGCATTAATGCTCTTGGTGGTATTTTCATTTTCAGAGGGAGGAAGCTTTCGACAAATTAATGCATCTCTAGCTGTGGAATATCAGGGATCGACTGATGGCTAGGGGAGGGAAGAGAACTCTTTAAATCATCCTGTGCATGAGTCTGCCTCTTCTGCCACCTGCTCAGCTTACAGATAAGGCTGTCCCTGCTGTCCCCCACCTGTTGGATGCCTTCTTATTGGGCCCCTCCAGGTCATGCTTGCGACCCAAATAACCCTCCATCTGCATGCTGTGGGATCGGTCCAGCTGGGCAGGCAGGGTGGTCGCTGTCTCCTCACTCTCACTCATAGGTGTGTCTAGAACTTTGAAAAGCGGTTCCAGGGTCAACTTCTCTTCTCTGCCTGTTCTCTCCTCCTGCTGCTGCTGCCTCTGCTTGTCTTCTTCCTGTGTCTGGTGGCAAATAGGAGAGGCAGACCTTACTGAATGTGGCTGAGGTTCCACAGATGATGCGCTGGTTCAAGCACATCACAGGGGTTGAAAGAGCCATTAAACATGGATCCTTTACTCTCTTCCTTTAGAGGCAGGTCTGGGGAGGGAGATCCAGGTCCTGGGTGCATTTCCACCCAAACCTCCCTACCTCAATCCCTAGCACCTCAACCTGCACCACGTGTGTGTCCTCTCTCTGGTCCTAAAATAGTAAACATCCGCAGATCAGGAGGTGGGAATGAACGTTGTCTTCCCCTCTTCCTCCCTGGTTTCATTTGCCACCTCCTGGCTACCTTGAATCCTCACTTTGGCATCCCATCCAGAGAGTTCCCCATCAGTGTTAACAGATTCCACCACCCCCTCCCCAACCCTTGTCAATGTCATGTGGACATAAGATACTCTCTCACAGAATTATGGATTTAGCACTATTGGGGGGACTAGAAATCATCTAGTTTAGCCCCGCCTCATTTTACAGGTGAAGAAAATGAGACCCAGTATGTGTGTGCAGAGGAGAAAGTACACATGGCTTAGGGGATGGGTTTATTTTTTTTTTTTATAATTTATGTCCTTGCTCTTGATTTCTCAGTAAATGCCTTTTTGTAAAAGCTAACTGATGTCAACTGGTTGGTCAATACTGGGGAGCTCATGAATGATAGTGCTAGAAATTCCCAGGACCCTGAAGGGAGCAAGAGTCAGTCACCCTCTGGAAGGCAATCAGGTAGTGGCTTATAGAGAAGGATCCAATCACCAGTCCTCTGATGGAGGCTTTCTAAATGGCAGCAGCTAGATGGGGAGGTGAATAGAGAACACCAGGCCTCAAGTCAGGAAGACCTGAGTTCAAATCAAAATTTATTAGCAAGTTACCTCAGTTTCCTCCACTGTAAAATTGAGATGATCATCTCCAACTTACCTCCGGTATATTTGTAAAGCACTGAGCATAGTGCCTAGCCCATAGTGGATGCCCAATAAATGCTTCCCCTCTGTCCTTCTGACTCCAAATCCAGCACTCCGTCCGCTGCACCACAATGCCTCTATCTTTAACAATTTTAGCACTTGTTTCAGTCTTTCTCTTCCACTCATCTGCTGTCATCCTCAGAGAAGTCAACAGCCATGGTGATAACCCTTCTAGCTCCTATTTCTTGGTTTCATGGTATTCTCCTTGACCTACATCCTTGGTACTCACTTCATACCCTTGCCTGTACACATGCTCAGTTCTCACACATTCTATTAAAAAAAAAAAACTAAAACAAAAACTTCCCTTGATATTCTGCACCCTTGCCTTATGTCCCATGACAAGGAATATCAATAGGTGAATAAAATGCAGGTTATTAAAATCTCTCTGCTAAAGAGAAAAAAATACATATTTTTCTTCCAAAAAAGATCTAGAAGAATGCTTCTCTACTATTCAGATTATCAGGGAAAAGGAAATGTTCCCAGAGATTGGAAAAAAAAAATGCTTCAGAAGGAAAATAAAGAAGAAAAAGTATCTGATAAGAAAGGAAAGATCCCTGATCGCTGACAGGAAATTTGTGAGGAGAAGAATGTGACAGAGAATGGAGGGAAGAAGGAAGACCAAGGAAGTTTTGTAACAGGTATCAGGGATGGAACTGGATTGTTTGAGAAAGCAGCAGTTTCTTGAAATCAATTAGTAACATTTATTAAGTGCCTACTGTGTGCTAGGCGCTGTGCTAAGCGCTGGGACAAATGAGCTAAAAGTGGCAAGGGACTGGCACTGTATATTAAAAACATGTAACTGATATGTGCATAAGACCAGAGGGAAGAAGTATGGTAACAGCATTTGGAAGGAGAAGCAAATGATACTGTGGTGGGAGAATGATACTTCCCACTGGGCCAGAAGGAAGAAATGGATAATGCAATCAGGACAGGGATCACAAACTTGCCACACAGAAATAATATAGCAGTAAAGGTGGAATTCAACTATCTGGATATCCTGGCTTCCTTCAAGTCCCAGCTAAAGTCCAACCTTCAACAGGAAGTGTTTCCTGATCCTCCTTCTACTTATATGAACTGAAGCAGAGTGAAGTGAGCAGAACCAGAACACTGTATGCAGCAATATTATGAAAGACTTAGCTACTCTGATCAAGACAATGATCCAAGACAATTCCAAAGGACCCATGATGAAAAATGCTATCCACTCTAAAAAGAGAATTGATGAACCCTGAATATAAATTGAACCATACCTTTTCAACGTTTTAAATTTTTCTTACTTCTTATATGTGTTCTTTTGTAACATGACTAACATGAAAGTGTTTTATGTGACTTCACACGTCCATATCATTTGCCTTCTCAAGGGGTAGGGGAGGGAGAGGAGGGAAAAAATTTGGAACTCAAAATTTTTAAAAATGAATATGAAAAATTTTTAAGTGTGATTGAGAAATATTTAATGAAATAAATATAATTTTAAAATAAAAAAATTCTATGCCTTCCCTCTGTTGATTGTCTCCAGTTTATCGTGTCTATATAGCTTGCTTGTAAATGATTGTTTGCATATTGTCCCCCCCATTAGATCATAAGTTCCTGGAGAGTAGAAACTGTCATTTGCCTTTCTTCGTATTATTAGTGTAAATTGGCCTGGTGTATAGTAGGCACTTAATGTTTCCTGACTGACTGGAGTTCTCTCTCTTGCTGAAAACAGAACAGGTATTAAGTTCTTGATTCGCCTTAATGAGGTGGAGAAAGTCACGAGGTAAAATGCTATTTTGGACTTGGTTCCGACTACCATCCTCAAGCCTCCCTGTGCCCCAGCTCTTTATCCCGAAGCCCCATTCTCCTACCAGGTATACCCATGCCTTTTCAGCTTTCTTTTAGATGTTGTCTTCCCCCATCAGAATGTAAGCTCCTTGAGGGCAGCAGCTATTTCTCTTTCTACTACTATTTGTATTTCCCAAGCTGAGAACAGTGCCTGGCACGCAGCAAGTACTTAATAAATGCTAGCTGAGTGACCGATAAAGTTAATTCAACTCAATGCAACATTTATTAAGCACCTACTATGCTAGATGCTGGGGATACAAAGACAAAAGCAAAGGTACCTCTGTCCTCATGGAGCTTTCATCCTACTGAAGGAGACAATGTAGACACAAATAAATCAATACAAAGAATATGCAAAATAATTTTAATGGGGAGAAAGCTACCGGGGGGAGGGTAAAAGAAGGAATCAGGGAAAGCCTCATGTAAGTACATGGCTTCTTGGTAGCATTTTTTTTTGGGGGGGGCCAGGCAATGGTGTTAAGTGACTTGCCCAGGGACATACAGCTAGCGTCAAGTGTCTGAGGTCAGATTTGAACTCAGGTCCTCCTGACTCCAGGGCCGGTGCTCTATCCATTGCACCACCTAGCTGCCCCTTTGGTAGCATTTTTTTTTAAAGTTATAGATTCTAGAAGATGGAGGCAAGGAGGCAGCACTTTTCAGACACGGAACCACTTGTGTAAAAGCATGGTGGTGGAGGATTGAATGTCAAGCACAGAGAACAATTATTAGGTTGGTCTGATTGATAAGTGCACAAAGGGGAAATAACATAAAATAAAGAGGAATTGGTTTATTGACATTCAGTCATGTCCGACTCTTTGTGACTTCATTTGGGGTTTTCTTGGCAAAAAGATACTGGAGTGGTTTGCCATTTCCTTCTCCAGCTCATTTTACAGATGAGGAAACTGAGGCAAATAGGGTTAAGTGACTTGCCAAGGGTCACACAGCTAGTAAGTCCCTGAGGATGGATTTGAATTCAAGTCTTCCTGACTCCAGGGCTAGTACTCTACTCACTGTGCCACTTAGCTGCCCAGGAATTGGCTGCAATGTAATAATGACAGGACCTTTAGAAGAAAGTGACCATTCCATCTGAGTCTATTATAGTCAAAGAAGAGAAAGCCAAGCATAAGTTCCCTCACATCCCAGATTTTGAGGTAATGAATTTTAAAGTGTTCAAAGAAAGTATAGTGGTGATACTTTAACCTAAAATTCTACGAGGTATGTCGTCCCAAAGGGATGGGATAGTTTCAAGAACAAAATTCTAATGATACAAACAGAAATTATTGCATTTACAAATACTAGGGGAAAATTGCCCAAGGAGTCTCACATGAATGCGCAATGAATTCATAGAACAACCTGGAGAGAGAAAAGGGAGACACCAAAGATTGGTGCCATCATGTAAAATCAGTGGAAGAAGGGCAAAAGCCCCAGATGAGCCGAGGCTAAAGATGAATGCAAGGACAACAAAAGGAGATATTTTACTTCTGTTAAGGAAAAAAGAAGGATTAGATAATGGAGAAGATGGTAGGGACAAAGGTTACAAACAACAGCAAGATGGCAAAACTACTTGCTTTATGTTGTATTATTTTTCCTACCAAGAATGATCTTTAGACTGGAAAGAACAGAACAAAAATGGCTAGCTAGGAATTGAAATTTATCATAAATAAAGAAATGATAAGAGAATACCTAGCTGCCCTTATTGAACTTATATAACCAGGCCCAGATAAACTATACAACATGATACTGAAAGAAACTGGCAGATGTGATTGTTTAGATGCTGTCAGTGATCTTCAAAAATTTTTGAAAAATTAGAAAAGTTGTTGCAGGACTAGAGATAGGCAAATATTATCCCAATTTTCAAAACAAGGAGAGAGAAGGTGGGATTCTTTGAAATGGTGGGCTTAATTTCACTTTATAGCCACAATCTAACACTATTAAAGGAATGATTCATAAAAGGAAAGTGGTGATGACTAACAGCCAGAATGGATTCTTTAATTCAATAGGCCTATGCGTTCTACGAAGTGTGCTAAGCCCTGTGAAGACATAGACAGTTCTTGCCCTCACAAAGCTTATATTCCATTGTGAGAAAACAACATTTACACAGATAAGTAAATACTTAGAAAAATTAGTTATTAAAACTTAAAGCAGCACTGAGACTTTTGGGACACCCTGTTTATACAGGTGTCTATATTTTATAATATATACAAAACAGTTTGATACAGAGAGGAGGTAAGAGAAGAGGTCAGGAAAGGTCTTTTAAAGGA